AAGGTATATCTTATCAGTCTGCATAATGATAATCTCTCTTATTTATGATAGATTAGTCAATTATCTCAAAGTTAAAAATCCTACACTACAGATGCAATATCAGATAATTTTTTGCTTTTGGCTCTTGACCTTTGAGAGAGATATCGCAGTTGAATTCAACAGGTAATATATCAGCTAATATATTTATTCGCTTTTTGATTTTACAGCGAATGCTAATAAAGCTTTTCTTTTATTAGAAAATATGATTTGATACCTACTTTAATAAACATTGCTAAAAGTGCTATCAAGGAAAAAATAATTCGTATCATTATCAGGACTTTCAGGGTATGGTTACTATTATACATATTTATTGTTAAAGGCAAAAAAATGGATGAGGTTCAGGTGCTGAGCTGTATTAGATTTAATGCATTTATAGTACCACTCTGTAAGATTTAGTGAAAATATTAAAATAGAAAAGCCGTTTCATACCACATTAAAATAGTCAATACTTTAGCCGAGCTCAATTGAATAAACTCATCATCGGAGTTCAAAATTCTGTAGATTATGAAGTTAGACAGTGATATATGATACTATTGAGAGTTAATAACATTGCTACTTACTTTAAGAACGGACTATAAGGAAGATCGGGACTTTTAGGAGATAACTTGTGAAAATACGATGCTCGTTTTTCATCATATAAAAAAAAAAAAAAATACAGTAAATGCACATAGGTACTCTTGAAAAAGAGAATAATATTAAGTTCTAACCGGACAGCATATCGTTGGTCATGACCAATATATATTGTACCGTATCAACTCGTTTCATCTTTCCCAAGAGACTTGTATAAAGTTCAGCATATCTATCCGCATCCTTCAAAACAAATGTATGAATAATAATAATAGTAATAAAACTCACACAAGCTTCAATATTGGCGCCACTTTCATCATTTGGTTCAGCCAACATGCTAACAACACTTAATAGAATTTTCTCGACACTTTGAACTGGTGACCAACGCTCAGAAGAGCTTTCATACATGTTCGGATCGTCACCAGGTGGATGAAGAATTGATATGCAAACCATTCCATCTGGATAAACTGTATTTATAATAGATATTATAACTATTAAGACAATTAGATGTGCCAATTGATTTAAAAAATATATATATACCATTAGGATGAAACATATCGCATGTA